TGCATATGCCATGTAAGCTCGTGGCACTTCTCATTGATTGAATAATAATTTTTAATATTTGCTGTTATTCCGGATTTTATTTATTATTTTCCCTCTAATCTTGGATTCCATGATTGCCAATACAGAAAACGAGGCAATATCTATTATTACAGCTATTCTGACGTTCTCACCGATGCAAGTTCAGTTTTAAACAAAAGTTGCTCGTGGTTCTCCTGCTGTCAGCCATCTGATCAAAGGACCTGTAACTTCAGTTCATCTAAGGCACGGTATCAGTGTGAGTTGAAGAATTCTCAAAGGCACCTATGACTCTTTCGCATTGTTCAGTTGAAACTTGCAAAAAGAAATCTTCATCAGATTTGCAAAAATGTCGAGATATGGAAGTAGAAATCCGTCGGCGACCGTATGATTAACGCGTAGTACCGACAGTCTTCAGGAAAGGAACACTGAAAATTTGCCCCGATACGAACAAGTTGCAATCACGTATCGTTAGATACCGTTATTGGAGAAAAGGTGAAAAGATCAAAAATTGATTACGGCAACATCGAGCCTGCTTGATCAGCGGAAAGTAAAATCTGATGCAGCTGTAGAGTACAGCATAACACGACTGAAAGCCATCTCATACAGTGATATGACAGTAGAACAATTAGTAAGGAGCCTCATTGTAGAAAAAGAAAGGTTTAGGAAGTGATAATAGCAGGACGAATACATGGCTGCACCGACAGAATAGGGGAAACGTATGTAATTAATTTAATGCATTTACAGTGCTGCATCATAATTTGTATTAAAATACTTTGGTTGTTTCTTTAATTTCTTATCTTATTACTTAATTTTTGCACCTGTAATTTTCATGCTATTCGTTGCCTTTATACATAGTCACGAAATTTTGGCCATTATCCAAACAGAGGAAACCATGCCAAGTATGACATATACTACATTTGGCTTCATAGCTTAACACGCAACAAAGTTTAACTTGATCCGGCATGACAATGATTGCCTGCTTCCTGATTTCACATTAAATCAATTAAATAGTAACAAAAAACATTAAAGTTTTACGGATTGTTTTAGACCTTAATTTTAACTGAGTGCCTCAGTCGTCAAACGACAGCATCTTCTGGAAGGCTTATGTGTTCTTGAAAATTGTTATGAGCAAGGACCAAGTTGGTTTTGGTAATGTTTATCTGAAGATTGAATTGTTTTATTTCAGTCGTATTGAAAAACAGCATGAAAACAATTTAATTCATATGCCTAGTGTATCAGTCGTCTGATTAAACGAAACCGTCTGGCTGAACGGGCAGGTCAAACGGACATTGATCATCCAGTCCCTCAACACTGTCAACCTTGGCTAGGCATGAAGCTGGTCGCTTCTGCTGCCCCTAAGTTATTTAAGTGGCAGCATGGAGCGAAAGCTCCTCTCGGTTCTTGAAGTACGATCTGCTAATAGCAACTCGAAGGAGATTTAGTTCACAGCGAACAAGAAAACGGAAGATATGTAAAATAATATGAATAAAACAGTGTAGAAAAAGTAATCACAGTGACTGACAAAGCTAGCAGGAGGTAAACAAGATGCTCGCAACAAATCTACAGCTGGAATGAAACTGAAAATTTGTGCGGAAGCTGGGATAGCAGATCCACTTAAAAATCCTGTGGGGATTTCTCCGCACTAAGCACGATAATGAAGAGGGCTCGGGAGAAAGACTTTTAAACCACTCATGGTATACTTGCTTATTTACAAGAATATTTCTAGGCCAGAAGTGATTTGATAAACCAAATAGACAATTAGATAGTCGATAGACAGATTCGAGCCAACCACTGAGGAAAACGGTTGTGAGGTAAGTTTCCCGAAGTCGAAGCAGGATGGGGCGAAATAGAAAGCATTGCGGTGAGCGGTCTCTGAATATTTACGTGTATTATGATAGGCAACTCCTGCTGAAGTGAGAGAAAGAAGGAAAGTTTATTACCGTTTCAACATCTGTCTTTCTTACACTTTCATAATGGAGTTTTTTTTATGAAACCAATGATGGAGCTGGTCTCCATTCTCATGCCTTCTACCAGGAGTATCTCATTTTATAAACCCAGAGTCGAGTTAGCTATCTGGCAAGCATATTACGTGGTCTCCTGCTTCCTACTCACCAAATGGTATTCATTTATCAGCCTCGTAAAGAAGAAAAGCGAGTTACACAGCCGGAGCTCGAACTCGGGACTTCTCGCTTCCGAG